GGGAGGGGACACAAAGCCTCACAATATGGGGGTGGGGGACACAAAGCCACCCCCCAGTGTCCCCAAATGGGGTGTGGGGGACGCAAAGCCAGCCCCCAATGTCCCCAAATGGGGGGAGGGACGGGGACACAAAGCCACCCAATGGGGGGGGGTGGGGGGCACAAAGGCCCCCCCCAAAGTCCCCCCAACGGAGGTGGGGGGACGCAATCCCTCCCCCCCCCCAAAAAAACCCCCCCCCCCCCCCCCCCCCCCCCCCCCCCCTTCAGGTTCGCAGCCCTACGAGGAGATGGGGGGCACAAGGAGGGCAGCAGCGCCGCGTCGGGACGGGCACGAGGACGGTGGGGACATTGGGGACATCGTTGGGGACATTGGGGACATGGTTGGGGCCCATCTTTAGGGACATCTTTGGGGATATGGGGACAGCGGGGGGGGGAATGGGGATTGGGGAGGGAATGGGGTCAATGGGGACATTGGGGTCAATGGGGACATAGGGGTCAATTGGGACACTGGGGACAATGGGGATCAATGGGGACGTAGGGATCAATTGGGACGTTGGGGACATTGGGGATCAGTGGGGACAGTGGGGATCAATGGGGTCAATGGGGGTCAATGGATCAATGGGGTCAATGGAGACAATGGGGACATTGGGGACAATGAGGTCAATGGGGACATTGGGGTCAATGGGGATCAATGGGGACATTGGGGGCAGTGAGGTCAATGGGGACATTGGGGACATTGGGGTCAATGGATCAATGGGGACATTGGGGTCAGTGGGGATCAATGGGGACACTGGGGACATTTGGTGTCAATGGGGACACTGGGGACATTGGGGTCAATGGGGACAATGGAGCTGTGTCCCCCCCCTCCCTCCTCCCAGATGCCAGCTCCTATGAGAACATGGCGGGCGCTGAGCTGACCCCGTGACCCTGCCGTGACCCCATGTGACCCTGCTGTGACCTCGGGTGACCCCATAACCACACCGTGACCCCGCTGTGACCTCGTGTGACCCCATGACCACACCATGACCCCAGCGTGACCCCATGACCCTGCTGTGACCCCACTGTGACCCCTTCTGACCCCAATGGACCCCATAGGGATTCCATAGAGCCCCACTGACCCCATAGATACACCACAGACCCCACAGAGACCCCATAGAGATCCCATAGAGCCCCACAGACCCCATAGAGACCCCATAGAGCCCCACTGACCCCATAGGGACCCCATGGAGACCCACTGACCCCATAGAGCCCCCATAGGGACCCTATAGACCCCATAGAGGCCCACAGATCCCATAAAGACCCATAGAGAACCACTGGCCCCATAGGGACCCCATAGAGCCCCACTGACCCCACAGAGACCCCACAGACCCAAAGGGGCCCCATAGAGCCCCAATGACCCCATAGGGACACCATAGAGCCCCACTGACCCCATAGAGACCCTATAGAGACCCCATAGAGACCCCACAGACCCCATAGGGACTCATAGAGACTCCATAGGGAATCTGTAGAGACGCCACAGACCCCATAGAGCCCCACAGATCCCATAGGGACCCCATAGACCTCATAGAGTCCCTACAGACCCCATAGAGACCCCATAGGGACCCCATAGACCCCATAGAGCCCCCATAAAGACCCTACAGACCCCATAGACCCC